GAAAACTAATCAGGGATACAGTTTTAAGTTTGGTGTGACACTCTGGTGAGAGGTACTTTTACGGTGCCGTTTATGCAATGTTTATCAACTCCTGTCCTATTTACACGTAAAGAAGCAAAAATAACATTATAATACTGACTCTTAAAATGACTGCAGAAAATATCCTGTTTTTTTTTATTTTAACAACATACATTGAAAGCAAATAGGACTAAAGATGTAAAAGAAAATAAAACGAACATTTGACCTGATCTTCTGATCTGCACTGCGTCATAAAAGGCAAAAAAATAAGGGGAAGATAATTTGTAGTCGAGTCAGGCTGTCTTCGCTATTTAACAAAATGTTAGAAATAGCGTGCCAAGGACTTAGGATTTTTGATCATAAAGTTTTCTTTAATACGAAAGAGCTTTGCACTGATCATATCATGGAATTGCTTTTAAGCATATTAGCTATTCTTTGGCCGGTAAAGAACAGAATGATAAATAATAACATTTTTAATATTCAGAATCTATCTTAAATATTTATAAGTCTACCATTTGTCCATGATAAGAATATTGCTGCCGCATATGGTCGGGTGCTCTTGCTACATATTTAAAGATTCCTGATAAAATCTAAAGAATCTGCAATGTTATTGGTCCTGATCTGATATCTCGGCTTCAGTCACTCTCTCACCGGCGTAAAGTAGCTTCCCTCTGTCTTTTCTATAAATAATTTCAAATATCATCATAATAAGAATAGATGTATAGATATATATTCTATGTAAGATTTTACTAGTTGAAAACTTCCAACTGGCTATTCAGATGGCTCTTGTAATTGGTACAAAAGACTATATTTATAAATCTTCATGATAAGTATATATATATATATATATATATATATATATATATATATATATATATATATATATTTATGTCAATTTATGTTGAAAAGTTTCCTATCGGCTCGACTATTCCAGACGGTACTTGTATTTGGTACAAAAGAATATATTTATACATCTTCATGATAAGTGTGAAGATATGTATATTATGTCAGCGTTTACAAGTTTAACAATTTCGCATCGGCTTGATTACCCAGACGCAATTGTATTTGGTACAAAAAAGTATATAAATATAGCTTTTAATAATAATATATATATATATATATATATATATATATATATATATATATATATATATATATATATGTATATGTATAAGTGCGTAGGTATGCAGAAAATTGAAAAGAACACGTTGGGTGCATAATCCCGGGTTCCTTAGTATTTTTGTTTTTTATTTTAAGAAGACAGTGCTCCATATAGAAGTAGAGCTTATATTATAATAATATTTTTTGTTTAAAAATATGATTCCTTCGCTACATAAGAGTTCTCATGTTTCAAAAACGAGAGCCGAAATCATCCAAATAATTATTAAAATTAAGTTGGATTGTGGTGTTTAGTCCCGTTTCATCTTCAAGCGAAATTTTAGGAATAAGCTATCTCTCGGTTTACGTGTATTTTTAGGCACGGTCCGTTACAGAATTCGTTATTGTGGGAGTGGCTAGACTATTTTCCTTCGTTAAGTGGTCAGAAAGTTAATTCTTATCAATAGATTCATCATCTTCTGAGTGGTTTTGCTAAGGTTGGGTAGGGTATCTATTTCAAGGCTAATGTTTGCGCTCACCCTTTAGTTAGTTCTCAGTGAGGGATATTTTTATGGCGTTCCTACAATCGTTCTGTGTCTGGGGAATTGTCTTTTAGTATTGTCCATCTGATTATCTATTTATTTATTTGTTTATTCAAGTGGGTGTTTTATATACAGATCGCATTGCACAGAAGATGATGAAAATTTCGCTTGAAGATGAAACGGGACTAAACACCACAATCCAACTTAATTTTAATAATTATTTGGATCATTTCGGCTCTCGTTTTTGAAACATGAGAACTCTTATGTAACGAAGGAATCATATTTTTAAACAAAAAATATTATTATAATATATATATATATATATATATATATATATATATATATATACCCAAGTATATAATTGGTGTATACGGAATGAATTCCAATAGTTGTGCTGATAACCTGGAGAAAATAATTAAAAAACCTAACAACATAATCTTTAACAAGTATAGGGATTCAAAAGGCTTGACTACTCAACAGGTTACTAACTGCAATACTAAATATAATAACACAAATACCAACTTATGTAATTGTAGGAATCCTAACAATTGTCCACTACAAAATAACTGTGGGATTACTTCTGTAGTCTATCTTAGTACTATTTCAACAACTGAAAATCCAAATATAAAATTTTTTTACATTGGTAGCACCATGAAAACATTCAAGGAACGCTGGCGTGGGCATATGCAATCTTTTAATAACAGTGACTATAGGTACATGACTTCATTATCCAAGTAGTTTTGGAATCTAAAAGAAAAGAACAAAACACCGACGGTTAAATGGAGATTGATTAAGAAAGCCCGGACATGTAACTCCCTATATGCCCCACGTTACCTATGCCT